ATTGCAGTGACAAAAGTACTGGAGCCTGCTGTTGGAAGCAGACAAGACACAGAACAACTTGATAAAGGAAAGCAACAGTCTGAGACCTCTGTGGATTCAGTAGCCTTGAGGGTCAGCAGCAGACATGGAGGAGGGCAAGCCAACAGAAGCAGCATCTACAGTGATCAAAGTCTGGAGCCATCACTTGAGTTTCAAGGGTTGGACATGGCGAACACCTTGCGAAGTTTCATTTTACAAGCTTATACCTCCAGCCCCAGCACACCTGATGGGTACTGTGTGAACAGTGAATGTAATGTACTGAATATGAATACAACTACTTCTCCAAAAGTTATGGAAGGAGTAAATTAGCACCTGTTTCTCCATGGGGCAAGTGGTGCCCATGTGGCAAGCTGTGCATTCCTACTAAGTATTTGCATGGTGAGATTTTGAAAATTACTCAGCCCCTTTTGGGGCTGGGTGTGATGTAAAGTGAAGCTAATACTACAACGGGACACTTTAAATAGAACTGAGGAGAAGGTACTCAGGCAACTTATATTTACATTTTTCATATTTTTCTAAAAATAATCAAAGAAATGATGAATCTAGCAAGGCTAGCCTTCCATCACTGGGGAGAAGGAAAAGGAAAACTGAACTAGCTGATTGCAAAAGTTTGGATTCAGTGGGACTTGGGCAGGATTGGGGCCAATAGGCATCTATATAATTGGGGTGGGTAGGAAGAGAAATTTGGCAATGAATGTTCTGCATTATCTTATCTGTACTGTACTTAGGTTGGATTGCATGACAGCTGTCTCTATGGGCCCCTCTCATCACAATAAATGTGTACGTCATGAGGCTATTCTAGCGAGCAACATTTTTAATAAAGTCCAGGCTCTGGGTTTTTTTCATTGTAATTTGTACAGATAAACAAAATATATTAAACTTATCCCTCCTTTTCCAATATTTTAGACCACCAAGCATCTCAGGTGCTTCCACATCACAACTGTGTTTGACATGTAAGGAAGATATACAGGTAAGGAAGATATACAGATATATACTGTGTGGGGTGTTTTGTTTTGTTTTCTATTGTTGGGGTTCCCCCAAGACCTCTTCAGTTCCCTAAGAACTCAGTTTGGCTCCAGTCTCATCATTTAGCATATAATCAAATTACATTTGAGTTGACTGGGCTTAAGTGAAGGGGTTGGGTACAGGGTATGCCACACGTCCAACCCAATTCCTTTATATACACTTACAGTGCATCACATGTTTTGAGATTGGCGTTGTCTCTTTGGGCTGGTCTACACTTGGGGGGGGGGGAATCAATCCAAGATACGCAACTTCAGCTACACGAATAGCGTAGCTGAAGTCAAAGTATCTTGGATCGAATTACCTGGGGTCCAGATGACGCAGGATCGATGGCCGCGGCTCCCCCGTTGACTGCGCTACCGCCGCTCGCTCTGGTGGAGTTCCGGAGTCAACGGTGAGTGCGTTCGGGGATCGATATATCGCGTCTTAACGAGCCGTGATATATCGATCCTGGATAAATCAATTGCTACCCGCCGATACGGCGGGTAGTGAAGATGTACCCTTAGTAGGAACTAATCCCTGTACAGCATGCTCTACTCACACGCTGTCCATGCACAACTTACTCTTTACCTCATCTTACTGTTCTAGGCTTG